TTCCCCATTAGAGTTAATTGTAATGGAAGGAAATGGTCCCCCGTTGATGAGCAGAAAGTGGGTATCCAACGTTTGACTGGATTGGAGTGTGGTGCACCACATGCCAGACAGGGAGGGGAACTGCAAGAAAACTACAAAGCTGTATGTAATACAGACATGGGATTGTTAAAAGGCCCAGCAGCAAGGCTGGTTGGGTCTGACAAGGCCATTTCTAAACCCCTGAAGGCTAGACTGTGACAAAATGGGAATTTTCTGTAATATTTTTAATGAAGCCTATGAGCTTCAGGGTTACCCTAGGGGGTAAAAAGGCTTGTTTGCTCTCTTCAGAGGCTCAGAGACTCTGGTGTGAATGGCTCCTAGCTGTCTGTGGCTTGGACCCCATATCAATGGAGTTTTCAAGAAGACCATGGCAAACCCAATCACCGAAACTTTGATACCAATGACCATGGATGGCCCACCTCTCGGCCGGAAGCAAACAGTGTTTGCCCAGCTGGAGAACAAAGAACTGGGGAGGTGCCAGGGTGTGATTAAGTGTTGGCCGCTGAGGGCTTCTGGGCACACACCTGAACTGGGACAGAGTGATCAGAAAGACCGAGCTCTGGGCTCTGTACTGACCAGAATGGACTCTGCTGTAACTTCCTTTTCTCTGTGCTTGCCAAGGACTTCCTTTGCTGTGTTCCAGCCAACTAATAAACTTTTCTGTGTGACAGCACTGGCTGGGTGTCCCTGTGGATGCTGGTGGAGGAGGAGCATTGCTCCCTGCAATCGTACAAGTCTCCCTCAGAGACTTGCTGAGTGGTGCACACGGGGTGCTGAAGGCCCAGAGGTCCAGCCTAAGGAGGTGATGAAGCCATGTGCTTTCCCTGGAAGAAAAGTGAGGCCACTAGGGGGGTCTGGCTCACTGAAGGAGTTCTCCCAGAGAAAGTTGCAAAGCCGGGCTCATAGCACCAGTCCTGTGACAGAGCACTGGATTGGTGGCAGAGACCTGTGCCATATGCTCTGCGATAGACAGCAGAAAACCAAATGGAGGAATTGCAAAATGGTGTAAGTTCAAGTTCATTGAATGGGCTGCCCCAGTTGTGTGTACCCCAAAGAGTGATGGCAGCAGAAGAATTTGTGGGGACTAACATCACCATAAACCCCGGGCTGAAAGTGGACCAGTATCCAATTGCTAAACTATAAGATTTATTTGCAGAACTGGCTGGTGGAGTGATGTGTCCCAAACTAGACTTGTCTCAAGCCTACCAGCAGGGGGTGCTGGAACCAGATTAAAAATATCTGACCTTGAAGCCACATAAGGGGCCATTGGGTGTGAAAGCTGACCTTATGACCCCCTTGCGGGGAGCTAGTGCACCTGCTGTGTATCAAAGAGTAACGGTCAGGCACGGCAGGGGGTGAATGGTGAGGACGGTTATTTTGATGACCTATTGATAACAGAGGAATTCAGAAGAACTTTTAGAGAGGCTAGAGGAGGTTCTACAGAGATTGTTAACTCTAACGCTATATTTTTGCGAAGATAAGTGTACGTGTTTCAAAATCAGGTTACTCGCTTGGAGCATTGTGGCGGTGGAGAAGGGTAAACCCGTTAAAAGAAGCCACTGAGAATGCACCAGTAACACAGAATGTCTTGGAGTTTAGATTGTTTCTGGCCCCGTTAAACTGCTATGGAAGGCTACTTCCAAATGGAGCCACATTAAGCAGTCCGATGTCCGCGCTGTTATGGACAAATACAAAGCCAGTTTGGACAGAAAAGGAAAACAAGGGTTTTGAGGCTGCAAAAAAGAATCGGAGTCATTCCAGGCTCCTGGAACATTTCAGTCTGGGATCCCCTAGCACTGGTCTGTGAGTGAGGCCTCTCCTGTAGGCACTGGGGCTGTCACTGCACACACTGGTAAAGATGGGAGTGAGAACCCCAGAGAATTCACTCCAGAATGTTCTCAAAGGCTGAGAGAAACTATTCACAGATAGAAAAAGAGGCTTTCGGCACCATTTTGGGGGTAATTAAACTCCATGAGGAACTGTTTAGACAAATGTTTGCCCTCATCACTGATCATAAACTCTAGGCCCAAAGGCAGGGGTTCCACTGAACTGAGCTGAGCTTCAGAGATGGGCTGTGATCTCAGCTGCCTACCAGTAGGTGTGCATCATACCCCATCAGAGGCGCTGTCCCATTTGGGTCTTTACACAGGGAAGCAGAGAGGAAAACCCTGTGTGTACAGTCTCTTTCCAAGATCACCTCTCTATTACAGCTAAGGAAATTGCTCTGGAAACAAGCAAAGACCCCTCTTTAGTTAAGGTGATGCACTAAGCACTTTCAGGGTGGCCAAATCACACAATCAAAGAGCAAGTGGGCCCTTGCTATTTCAGGAAAGTGGAGTTATCCATGGACAATGGTCATTTGCCATGGCACCTGTAGCAAAGTGACAACTCACCAGTGCAGTGCCTCCTGCTGGTCATCCAGGGAATTAGCTCTCCAGCATATGCAGCTCCTTCTGCAGGCTGGTGTCTCACCTGCCGCTGGCCCTGTGTCCCTCTTGGACCCCAGTGCCCTTTACCTCAGGGCTCTGCCCTAGGAATACCCCCTCACTGTGGGTCTCCCCTCCCAGGGGAACCTCTAAACCCACCTTGCCTCAGTGGCTACTACCAGTCATCAGCTAGCCCCCCCCCACTCACTGGGGCAGACTGCAGTCTGTAAACCACTCATCATTGGCAAGGAGGGTTTGGACCAGCTGCCTCTGCCTAACCCCAGGCTACACCTCTGTAGCCTCAGTACCTGCTTTGGGCCTTATCCAAGGCCTCAGCCTGGGTAGCTGCCAGGCTGGATGGAGCTCCCCAGCGCCTCTTGCCTTTCCCCAGCATGGCTCTACCTCAGGTACCCTGCTCAGCTCTCAAACAGCCAGGTCCATCTCTCTCCACAGCTAGAGAGAGAGACTGCCTGAGCTCCTGGCTAGCAGCCCTTTTATAGGGCCAACTGCGGCTAGCCTATTGGCTCCCTGGGGCAGCCCTTTCCCAGGGCTGTTTTACCCCTTCAGGGCCGGAGCGGGTCGCCACCCCACTGTAGCGCCTATTAGTAATAATACCAGAAAGCTTACAGAAAAGGCTGCTAGTGGAATTACATGAGCAGCACCAAGGGGTGGTAATAACAAAAGGGGAGGTGTGACATAGAGATTCCTTGGCAAAGGGACCCCTGTTCTTTGCACACATCTCTCACCTCTGACCTGACAAACTGTCTACACCAACCTACAGTATACAGGATATTGCTCCATAAACAGTAACGTATAAGGTATCTACAGAAAGCTCAGAACTTGTCAAGATTCGTACTCATTATAAGACATGCGTATGTACAGGTAATATTTAAGGAATAATGTATTAATATTGACAGCATGCTTTATAAACTTGGAGTAAAAGTCAGTCACCAGGGGATAATATGTCTCAGTGATGGCCTGTTTAAGCAGGAGAGAGTTGTACCTGACCTGGTTGGCCAGTGATGTAATGCAAGGCTCAGTTGTCCAGCCTTGCTCCATCCCAAGACTATCCATGGAAAACCATCAGAGAGAACTACAAGTAATCAAAACCTCTTGGAGGTAAAGAAAGGAACATTACAACAGAGAGGGGATCACCCAGTCTAGGAATAGAGACTATGATGCTGGCAGACCAGGTGGCAGCTCATGTCAAAGCCCCTAGGCCTCAACCTTGACAAAGACATAGCTGGAACCAGTCTGGCTCGCCTGGGTGTTAGTGTTGTTAAGCTAGGTATTAGGTTTGTGATACAGGGCCAGAAAGGGTTACACAACTAGCAGGCTGGTTGACCCAGATTCAACCTTTAAAGACATAGTGGATTATGACTGTGGTTTTTGTGTGTTTACATATATATTGTTAGAGTTTGACAATGTAACCAAATGGTTCCTGTGTATCGCTGGATTCTGTTAATTCAGAGATCAAAAGGCAATGTTAACGTTTAGATGAATTGTGAATGTAGTAATATCATCGTCCTTATTTCTCTTTGAAGTTTGTAGTAAACTAGCTGTAAATGGCTGAAGATGGGCAGTTGCCTTATGTTAATCCATGTAGCTAATTATCGGTGATGCTTAGGAAATAGGAGGTCTACTTCAAAGCTAGGATAATTGCCTATTGTTTACCCAAGGACGGCACGCTGTCAAGAGGCTGCTAGAAAACTATAAAAAGAACTCTAGGGCCCTGATCCTATCATCTCAGTTCTGCTTAAGCTTCATTAGGGGAAGTTTGAGTCACAAGAATGAGGTCTCCAGTCCCATCTGGATCACCGTGATATAGGACATTGGACTGCTACGCATGGACTAATTCTGAAAGTACTTTTTTCAACTCTAAAGCTCACCATCTCTACTATGAAACTGATCTAAGAACTCTATTCATATCTGTATGTATAATGATCTCTACCCAATACTCTCTCTCTTCTTTTTTAATAAATTTTAGTTTAGTTGATAAGAATTGGCTGTAAGCGTGGATTTGGGTAAGATCTGAAATATTCATTAACTTGGTGGGTAATGTGTCCAATCCTTTGGGATTGGTAGGACTTTTTATATGATGAATAAGATTTTCAGTAATCCTCATCATATTTGACTTGGCTGTCTGGGTGGGAGCTCAAGGCTGGGTTGCTCTAAGGGAACTGTATTTCTGGCTTCTGGGTAACCAGTAAGGTATTGGGAAAGCTATTTTGTTGCTGGCTTGGTGAATCTAAGAATTAGAATAACTGCCAGTTTTGGGGATTGTCTGCCCCATTCTTTGCAGTCTGCCCTAATTGAGCAGCTGCAGCATGGCCCCCCCTGGGACCTCAGTCACATGGTTATAAAAATGTGCTTTGTGTTTAGACTTTATGGAAAGCTTGTAAGTTGCTGTATGTGTTAACCTCGCTTATAGTTATAGCCCATGTTGTAAGGTAGTATTTAAGTGTTTGCTCTGTAACTGTAAATCTCCAGTCAGGAGAGAAGCATTATTGAGTATGAAATACTCGTTTGCCTCAGGAGGTGTTATGTCCTACCCAACACAAGAAGGCCCATCGACACCAGACAAACCATTGTGGAACATCAGAGGACAAAAGACTTTGTTGATTGCTCCCCTGTCTTCCATGAAGAGGAGACTGAATTCCTTGCAACAGCTGAACTTGCATCTTGCAGCAGAAGGGGAGAAGGTATAAAAGGCCTTAACAAGGAGAAATTGGATCTTTAATGTTATTTGCACTCTGAGGGGCACGGATTATTAAGAAAAAGTAAAAAATCCCCAGTGCTTGGCCTGGGGTACCCCTAAAGGACATATAGTGCTTGCTTATTATAGATGCTTGTATTACTACTTGAGACTTAAGAGTGGAAGCATTTGTGTATATATGTTTACTTGCATTAAGCTTATTTCCTTTTCCTAGTTAATAAATCTTTAGAGTTTATTATGAGATTGACTACAGGTGTTGTCTGTGGTGTGAGATCTAAGGTGCAATGGACATGGGGTAAGTGACTGGTCTTTTGGGACTGGAAGTAACCTGAATATTGCTGTGATCATTGGTGTAAAGGACTATCTATCACGAAGGTAAGCTTACCTCCATGGCTCGTATCCAAGGGGACTGTTTGTGATTCCATGTTAAGGCCACTACAGTGCTTGTGGAGTTCACACTTGATGATTGATCGGTGAAATCTAAATATAGAAGTCCCCGCCCAGTTGGGGTTTGTACCCTAGGGGTAGTACTCAGGCTCTCGAGCCACTGCAGAGACAAAAGACTGTTTGCAGTATAACGGAGGGGAGAGGCATTCTGTATCCTTGAACTGAAGAGACATCCTGAGCAGCTGGGGTGATCTCATGAAAAGTTGGTTCCTGGTTCCTGTGAAGTCAGCTAGCTCTGCAAGAGATTGAAGTTTGTGGGTGGGAGAAACTTTGTTAGCTAGAAAAGGTAGCTTTTAGTAAGTGTAGATTCAGGTTTGTGTTTTATCGTTTTGTATTGTAACCTTTTGTTTCCATCACTCTCTCTGTTGTTTCTAGTTGAATACATAAATAAACTGTTTGTTTTTATTACAAGTGTTGTACAGGAAGGGGGGAGGTTAAGGTAAAACTAGTAAACTGGGGTGCACTGCTCCTATGGGGGCAGAGGATCTGGGATTTCTGTGAGTAGCTAGTGTCAGGGGCTGGATATCACAAGGTAATGTTTCAAAGGGACTCGGGCTGGGGTGCACCTCTTGTTAACCTGCAAGGTGAAGTCAGGACTGGCACACCCAAGAGGAGAGTGCTTGGGTGGCTGACAGGCTGGTCATGTTAGGGAGCTGACCCCCAGTTACCAAGACTCCCTCACCCTAGAAGCAGGGCTAACGAGTTGACTCAGTCCGGGATACCCCAGGAACCAGCCCAGTGGTGTAGTCAGTAGGATCTTTACCCTGCTTGCTAGCTAACCACATCCCATGCTCACAGTGCTTATAAACCAGTGACCAAGAGCCTAGAGAATGTGAAGGTTGGAAAGAAGGGAAGAAAGGGTTACTCTTTGTTGTCTGTGTGTTTGTTTCAGGTAAGGGACTAGAGTGGCAGAAGAGGCTGGATGAGCAGAGAAATACATGCTAATCACACCAAGAAGCAATAGGAGGAGCTGTGTGCTGAGTGCTGGCTATTTGCTGCAGGAAAAGATACGGCTGGGTTAAGACCCTCCTCATGGAATATGCCAAGCCGCATGAAGGGCAGCCGAGCTCCAAGTGAGCGTGAAGACTCTGGGAACCCACGTGGTGCCACCACCACCAGCGTGACAGCTCTGGACCTGGACAAGACCAGGGCAGAGCTCTGTAAAATGGACCTAGCAGAAAAAGAGAAGGAGGGTGAGCATCAACAGCGAATGGTGGAAATTGCAGCCAAAGAGAATGAAGCAGCACATCAGAGACAGCTGGAGCTGGAAGAAGCTGTATGCCAGCAATCCATGGAGTTGGAGGAGCAAAAGCGTGAACCAAAAGATCATGAGCAAGATGCTGGAGAGGTATATACCGAACCCCCAGACAGCAGGCAATCCTCCAAAAGGGGCACCAGCTGAGACAGACTTTGCCTTACTCTCTGATACAATCCGTCTCTCTCTCTCCACTCTTGAAAGAATATATGAACTGTACAAGATTCCAGAGGAAAAGAGTGTACCCACGCTGATCTCCAAGCTGACTGGTAGAGCATTGGGAGTGGTTAATGAGATGGACAAGGGGCAGGCACTGAAAGGACGAGTTGAAACAAGCTGTGTTTCAAAGGTTTCAGATCACCCCAGAGCTGTATCGTTTTAAGGTTCAGAACTCTCAAAAGCATGACAAGGTGAGTCCGAGAGAACATGTGTGCACAACATGTGATTAATGAAAAATGGGCAAAGGGAAGAGGGGTAGAAGATTCTGACCAGTTATTTGACCTCTTTCCACAGGAACGTTTCCTGAGTAGATGTACTGAAGGAGTCAGAGCGCCGATCTTTGATAACCCCCCTGCCACTGTATGGAGTATAGCTGATATCAAGACTCCTACATACAGGCCAGACTGTTCAGTGAGCACAGACCCCAGAAGGAGGGGCAGAAGCCCAGTACAAAAGGGGGACCCTGTTTTATGTCTGGGAAAAGGGAGGGTGTGGTGGTGAGTCCAAGCACCCACCACCACAGAACTGATCACCTCCCAGTAGTCAAAATTACAGGCCTCTAGCACAGCAGGATGGCCCAAAAAGTGCTACTTATCTGACTCCACTGAGCACATGAAAAGAAATTATCCTAAGCAATGGGTATCCGAATATAAACCCTGTTCAGCCCAGGTTAATGTGGCTACTTTGGACTGAGGGGACCCTAGTGAATGCTGTAAGGTCTGACCTATTGGTGGTTGATAAAGAGTTTATTAAAGATTCCAAGGTGAATGCTAAGGTTTGCCAAGGTTGGAGGGTCACTTACACCCAAATTTCTCTGGTCAGAAAAGACCTGGTTGTGGAATCTGATCTACTCCCCGAGGAAAATTAAAACTCCTTCCATTGGGAAACTCTGAAATCACTGTACCCTTAGTTCGTTGGAGTGGGAAGGTTTAAAAGGTACTTTAACAGCTGCTATACTGGATAGACAAGGTGGATGAGGTAATGTCTTTTAATGGACCAATGTCTGTAGATGAAAGAGACAAACTTTTGAGCTGTACAGAGCTCTTCTGCGGGGCTGGGAAAGGTGCTCAGGGTGTCTCAGCTGTCACTGCTGTATAGTAGAACCTCCCATTTATGAACATTGACTTAATAAAGCTTTGAAATTTTACTATTCAGAAAAAATGCTGCTTTTGACCATCTTAATTTAAATGAAACAAGCACAGAATCAGTTTTCCTTTATTTTTTGTAGTATACGTTTAACACAATACTGTACTGTGTTGGCTTTTTTTGGTCTCTGCTGCTGCCTGATTGCGTACTTCCAGTTCCAAATGAGGTGTGCGGTTTACTGGTCCGTTCGTAACTCTGGTGTTTGTAGCTCTCAGGTTCTACTATATTTGTGTTCACACCCAAAGCAGGCTCAGCAAAAGAAGCTGATTTCTCAACTTCCTGCTCTGCAGACGAGCTGCTCCTGCCTGCTGCTAATGGTGCAGAGCTCTCAGCTCCCTGTGTTTGGGGACTAAGGGTCTGCCTACACTGGCAGAGTTACAGTGCTGGCCGTTACAACGCCGCTCAGAGAGCACTGAAGGGAAACCGCTGTTGTGTGTTCACGTTGTTAGCTGCCTGCACGATAGCATGTTGCAGTGGTATTCGGAGTGGTGCACTCTGGGCAGCTATCCCACAGAGCATCTCTTCCTCCCCTGCTGCTAAGAGTTGTGGGAAGGCAGAGGGGGTTGCTGGACATCCTGGGTCCTGTCCCAATGCCCCATGATGCATTGCTTTGAATTCCAGCAATCCCTGTGCTTCCGTCTGCATTTGGCGCCATCTGCCAACCGTTTGTGTACTGCGCACTCTGCCTCTTCGGTCTGCAGGAATGGCTCCTGAACTGTGAGCTGTTTCCCTGCGACCATGACCTGATCTCATAGGAGCAAGCTCAGTTTATATTGTATGTGCACGATTGTGTTTAGCAATATAAGCTGGCTGAAATGCAAGCAGGAGGACACAGAATCGCAGCATTTAGGCTTGGCAACAGGCCAAACCCTAAGCAAGGCCTAATAAGGCACTGAGTCCAAGTGCTTGACATGAGGTCATAAGATTTGGTAACACATAGCTTGTAACACGCATGTACACCCACCACATAAACTTTACGTAGTGGATTTCTAGGGGATTTTGGGATATATGTAACCACGGAGAAACCACACTGATGTGTCAAAACTACTTGCCAGTTAGGTATTAACTCTTGGAAGTTTAACTGTGGTTAGCCGGAATACCATGCATGGGCAGGGGCTGAAACATTATCAGATGTGGTCATGTACATGTGGGGATGGAACAGGAAAACGGCTGGATATTAGGAGAAACTTTTTCACTAGGAGGGTGGTGAAACACTGGAATGCGTTACTTAGGGAGGTGGTGGAATCTCCTTCCTTTGAAGTTTTTAAGGTCAGGCTTGACAAAGCCCTGGCTGGGCTGATTTAGTTGGGGATTGGTCTTGCTTTGAGCAGAGGGTTGGACTAGATGACCTCCCGAGGTCCCTTCCAACCCTGATATTCAATGAAGTCCATAGTAGTATTTGCATGCTTGTGAATGAGACTACTGTATCTTGCAGTTGTGACAAGGAACTTAACTTATTCTTAATTATCTTTAGGTTTATAGTATTTGTAATTTTTGCTCCAAAACCAACTCCTCCTAATATGGTGTCTACTACATTTCGTTTTGCTCAGCCATTGGAGTGTTGATGTGTTTTTATCCAGGATGTTGTAATAGGAAGGGAGTAGGGTAAACATTTGAGTTCCAATATAGACACTTTTAGCTAAGTCCAATTCATACCAATTTTTATTTTTTACTAATAGTGGATTTAACAAGACTTTTACTGGATCACTTTGAGTCACAAACACTTTTTTGGTTTCTTTATTTTAATTGGGGTACCTTTCTTGAATGCATAGTCTCTGGTCCAGGTTCTGGTGCACGTGTCTGGGAACGATAGGTTCAATTCACCATGGGGTATTGGACAGTACCCCACAATAACTGTTAGTATTGTTCCTGTCTTAACAGGCTCGTCCCACGGATGTGATAGTTGTGGGTAGCTGGAACTCCAGGTGGTATCCCCATAGGGACCCTCTATTTTAACCCCTATTTCCCAGTGGTTTGGTATTTTTGTTGTGTTTATAAGGTACACTTTAAGTCCCACTTCCCCTTCCCAGGCATACACATTGGTATTTCCTAAGGGTCTTAAGGGTTGGCTAGTGTTTTTATTATACTATTTCATGAGGATCACCGGATCACAGGTAGGAATCCATGATTGGTTGGCGGGGAGTGAATTATTCCTTAAATATTGGTTCTAATTATCGGGGCACTAAAAGTTCCCAGAAGCAGGTAAAGCCAGGCCTTACACTGGAGGAGAAGAAGGCACACTGCCAGCTCCCAAGGAGGGACAGCCAACGATCCAGGGTCCAGCCAAGCCGGGAGGCACCCTGCGTCCCTGACCGAGGTCTCGACAGGAGGGGATGGACCGGAGGACCTCCCCCGCCCATTTGGAGAACACGACGTTGAGGGTAGGAAGTGACCCAGGGGAACTTTAGAGACAAGCAGCGTTAAAGCCGCATGGACACTCGACGTGTTGCGGGCGGATCCCCGCCAAGCTAAGCGCAAGGGGGAACCCCGCCAATAGGCGAGCCCTGGGTCGGGACCCGGTGGAGAGGGTGGGCCCAGGTCCCCCTACCACTCCGGCCATTAGGATACTTCCCCGCCTGAGAGGGGGAAGGCTATGGACTCTGGCCGTTGGGTCACACTGCCCTGATTCATGGGGAGAGTTATATGGACTTTGGCTGTTGGGCTATGCTGCCCTAATACTTGGGGCGAGTTGTATGGATTCTGACCGTTAGGGCCCACTACCCCGACCAAGGGGCGAGCACAGGGAAACTGGCCATTGGGTCACATCATGACTCCCTTAAAGGGATGGGCGTGGGAATTTAAGAGTGGTGAGGCCCCGACACCACATCCACCCCTCCCACAAAGAGGTGCAGCAGTGCCGGACCCATCACACTCCCCCATTGTCAGAATTTATTATTTTGGGGGTGCCATATTTACATACTACCTTATTAAAGAACTTTTTGGCCACCACCCTGGTGCTGTTATTTTTTAGTGGGAAATGCCTCCACCCATCCTGAAAAGGAATCAATTTATCACCAATAAGTACTGGAATCCTTCCTTACTCCTTGGCAGTTTATTAATAAAACTAATTTGAACCCTGTGCCATGGCCCAAGCCTTCATTGGTGCATCATGAGTTGCCAGTGCAGAGGATGAACCTTGTCCTGAGCGCACCGCACACAATTCTACACCAATGTTTTAACATCATCCTCCATACACTCCCATTTGGCTACTTGCTTTAGCGTTCTTAAAGTTCCTTCTACTCCTTCATGCATAAACTGATGGGCTACATACATTAAGTAACTCTTGTCTTTCTAATTTTTTTGGAAAAAAGAAAAGGAGTACTTGTGGCACCTTAGAGAATAACAAATTTATTTGAGCATAAAGCTTTCGTGAGCTACAGCTCACTTCATCGGATGCATGTTAGTCTCTAAGGTGCCACAAGTCCTCTTCTTTTTGCGAATACAGACTAACACGGCTGATACTCTGAAACCTCAAAAAGAAAAGGAGTACTTGTGGCACCTTAGAGACTAACCAATTTATTTGAGCATGAGCTTTCGTGAGCTACAGCTCACTTCATCGGATGCATACTGTGGAAACTGCAGAAGACATTATAATGTAGCTCACGAAAGCTGTCTTCTGCAGTTTCCACAGTATGCATCCGATGAAGTGAGCTGTAGCTCACGAAAGCTCATGCTCAAATAAATTGGTTAGTCTCTAAGGTGCCACAAGTCCTCCTTTTCTTTTTGCGAATACAGACTAACACGGCTGTTACTCTGAACTCTGAAACCTGTGTTTTTTTGGAACTCGGTTAGGATGGTCTGTAGTGCCATCTGTTGACTCAGATGTGTCAGCACAGGCATTCCTTTTCTGACCTTTGGTTACAACTGCTATGTCATGCTGTCCGGCTATTGTATCTACCTTAGGCGCTATCCGGGGTTCTCTGCTCGGTGTCCCCATCCGGTTCCCTTCGTTTGACCCTTTGACCGCACTCCTGTCCCTGTTGTTCATTAGTTGTCCCCCGTAATTATTTTGTGGACCCCCCCCTTAGGCTGTGGGGGGATCCTTTAGCAGTGGGCGGGCAAAGCCCACACACTTCCTGGATTCCAATATGGCTTGAATAGAGACTGGGAGTGGATGGGTCATTACACAAAGTAAAACTATTCTTCCCCCCCCCCCCCCCCCCCCGTTCCTCAGATGTTCTTTTTAACGGCTGGAAATGGCCCACCTTGATTATCACTACAAAAGGTTTTCTTCTCACACACACACACCCCGCCCCCACTCTCCTGCTGGTAATAGCTCATCTTAAGTGATCACTCTCCTTACGGTGTGTATGATAACACCCATTTTTTCATGTTCTGTGTGTATATAAATCTCCTCACTGTATTTTCCACTGAATGCATCTGATGAAGTGAGCTGTAGCTCACGAAAGTTTATGCTCAAATAAATTGGTTAGTCTCTAAGGTGCCACAAGTACTCCTTTTCTTTTTGCGAATACAGACTAACACGGCTGCTACTCTGAAACCTGTATCTACCTCATTGGTCCAGGGGCCTCCATACCTGTTCCTTTACTGTGTGCCTTTACGTATTGCACCTTTAACTGTTTAGGGTTCTTTGTTACCCACTGGTAAATCCATTTCCATTCCTCTGAATATGCAATATCCTTTCCATCTACTGCTTTCCACCCATTCCTATACCAATCTTGTATCCAAAACTGTATCCCCTTTAAACAAAAATCATTGTCAGCAAAAATCACTGTCAGATACATGGGCCATGGGGAATTTTCATACAGTCTTAAAACCTGATAAATTGCTTGGAGTTCAGCATGCTGAGCCGATCCATGGTCTAGAAGTCCCTGAATGACTTCCTCTTCTAAGTTAATGTATTTTACACTTTTTTCTTTTTTTTTTTTTTACTATTATTGCACTTCTGTTAGTAAAACAGATGTGCTTTTTTTGACCCACGGTATTAATTTTTTTTAGTGGGGGTGCCTCTACCAAGGCAATTCTTTGCTCCAGAGTGACCTCTGGACATTCATCTTGATTCCCTTTTTTAATTAGGCCATATGTTAGCATGTCCGGCTTGGACACTGTTTCTGTGGTCACCCCTCTGTTAACTAAAATAAGCGTCCATTGAGCCATCCGGGTGTTTGAGACTTTACCTTCCATTAATTTTCCTGACAAAATGTACTTCAGAGGAGTGCGGGTGCTTTGGATAGTAATAGGGGCCGTTCCTGTGAGTGTCTCAAAAGATTGTACTACCCAGATGGCTGCTAGACACTCACGTTCACAGGGATTAAAATTTATTTTTGCTTCTTGTAATTTTCTGGATTTATATGCTACCGGCCCTAGCTTTCCCTTTATATTGTTTTGTAATAGTGTGGCAGCCAAGGCCATGTTATTAGCCGCCAAACGAATAGCAAAAGGCTGTGAGTCATCAGGGAAATGCAGGACTGGGGCTGTGAGAGCCTTCGGTTTTAGCAGGGTTAAAGCAGAGTTCTGCTCTTTTCCCCTTTTTATTGTGTTTCTTTTTTTAGCAGTTTTTACAATGGGTGAGTTATTTTAGCATATTTATAAATGTGTGGCTTAAGAAAATGGAATCGTCCTAGCAGTAATTTTAAAGAGTGGGCGTCGGTAGGAGCCGGCATGTCTACTAGTGCCCTTACCTTCCTTTGATTTACCTGTTTTCCTTCTTGTCCAACGACTATGCTCAGGTATGTAACCTGAGGTATCACCAGCTGAGCCTTGTCTAAGGCTACTTTGAACCCCATTTCCTGAATTAGTGCCAAAACTTTTTTTGTTAGTGTTTGAGTTTGTCTCAGTTTCCCCAAATATCAAAATGTCATTTACCTATGAAAACACACAAGTCCTTTCTTGTGGACTCAACTGGTCTAGTATATCCACAATATGCCGATGGGCAATAGCCGGGCTGTTGTGATATCCCAGGGCAACCGACAAAAGGCCCATTGTTGCTCCTTTATTGCAAAGGCAAACCAATCTTGTGAGTCTGGATGTAGGGGTATGGCAAAGAAACGGCCAGATCAATAACTGAGAAATATTTAGGCATGAAAGACCCTCTAATCTTATATTCCAACTTGCACTTTTTGTATGACCTGTGTCATATCAGCCACAATAGGGGCCATATGGTCAAATCACACACCAATACATTTAATGCATGCTACATTATTATTCTTTATTCTTCATTCTAAATTATACAAAATACAAACATAAAATCCTACTACTACATGAGCGTCCTGCAGTAAGTGACTGGGGAGCAGTAGAAGGAAGGGGGATTAGCAGGTGTGCTGAAGGCTCCAAGAGGTGTGGTTCCAGGAGGCAGAGGAGCCTATGGCTTAACCCCGAGAGAGAGTGGGCTGTTGCACTGAAGGTGTTCCTCCCAGGGACTGTGCGGAGCTGAGAGAGCACATGACCACTTGGGAACAGTAGGGAGATGGCCTATAACCATCGCCTTAAGAAGAACATTGTAGAGCTGTGCAGAGAGAGAGGGCTGCGCAGTGGAAGATTCACCAAGGCACATCTGATTGCTCCGTTGGAAGAGAATGATTCCTCTAAGGAGCCGGTTACTGACCCAGCTGAGGCTGCAAGAGAGGCTGGGAGCAGCCAGGCAGCCCCAGGGGTCACCCCAGCCATCAACCCTGTCAGGGTTCCCTCCCCACTCTGAACTCTGGGGTACAGACATGGTGACCTGCATGAAGGACCCCCTAATCTTATATTCCACCAGCTTAGGTTAAAAACTTCCCCAAGGCACAAATTCCCTTCCTTGTCCTTGGACGGTATTGCTGCCACCACCAAGTGATTTAAACAAACATTCAGGGAGGGGCCCCTTCACCCCCTTTCCTGGGGAGGCTTGAGAATAATATACCAACCAAATAGGTTCACAAGGTGAGCACAGACCAGATCCTTGGGTTTTTAGGACACTAAAACCAATCAGGTTCTTAAAAGAAGAACTTTATTATAAAAAAAAAAAGTAAAAGAAGCACCTCTGTAAAATCAGAATGGAAGGTAATTTTACATGGTAATAAAAGGATTCAAAACACAGAGGATTCCCCTCTAGGCTCAACTTCAAAGTTACAAAACAGGAATAAACCTCTCTCTTGGCATAGGGAAAATTCACAAGCTAAAACAAAAGATAATCTAACACATTTCTTTTCTATTACTTACAATTTCTGTAATTTTAGATGTATCATTTCAGCAGGAGCTGGATTACCTGCTTGGTCTCTCTCTTTATCTCAAGAGGGAACACACAGAGAGCACAAACAAAACCATCCCCCCCTCCCCCGATTTGAAAGTATCTTCTTTCCCCATTGGTCCTTCTGGTCAGATGCCAGCCTGGTTATTTGAGCTTCTTAACCCCTTACAGGTAAAGGAGGGATTTTATGCTACCCTTAGCTGTATGTTTATGACAGACCCAACCAGGAACGCAGGAGGGGATGAAAACAGCCAGGCAGCCCCAGGATCCACCTACCCGACCAGCAGGGGATCTTCACAACCGAGTTCCCCGTCAGTGGAGCTGAGACGGTTGGAGTTGGAAATGGAACTGAAACTGGAAGAGCTGGAGGGCCAGTGAGAAGGAACAGCAGGACCATGAGAAGGAATGGGACGACCGTGAGAGACAGAGGCAGCATGAACTAGCGATGGTGAAGCTGAGAAGCAGAGAGACCCCTGCTGGGGTGAGTGGGGATGGGCCCAGAGTGGCTAAGCCCGCAGGGAACTCTGATATAAAAGTGCTGCCTCAGTTTAAGGAAGGGGATGATCTAGATGCCTTCCTCGTTGCCTTCGAAAAGGCCTGCAATGTGCACCAGGGTGGCCCTGCAGACAGGCTTCAGCATGTCACCGCCTTACTGAGTCCCAAGGCCATAGAAATGTTCAGCCAGATGGATGGGGTGGAAGCAGGGGACCATGAACTGTTCAAACAAGCCCTGTTGCGCAATTTTTGCGCTGACCCCCAAGGTGTAGAAGAAAAGGTTCCAGAGTATGTAGAAGACCCAGGGGATGACCTGTCTGGAACTGGTCACACTGATGGGGGAATACACCCACAAGTCGGTGAATGGGGCTGGGGCCCAGACCAAGGAGGATGTGATTGAACTGATGGGGCTGGAGCGACCATATGAACTCTGTCCCCCTGACCTTAGGATGTGGCTGGTGGACAAGAGGCCGAAGGACCTGCACCACGCAGGGCTGCTGGCTGACGAGTTTGTAGACAGCAGGTCAGGACATGGAATGGAATCCCAGGGGGACAGGCCCACGTCAGTGCAGAAGGGGGTCACCCAGAGGCTTCCCAGAAGAGTGTCTTGGATAAATCCCTCCCAAGAGGCACAGCCAATATCAGAGCTGACCAATCGGCCCCAGGGGACCAACAGGACCTGAGGTGTAATTACTGTCGGCAGAGGGGCCACAGATGGGCCCAGTGCCAAAAGTTCAGGGACAGGATGAGCAAACCAAGTCCTCACAGGCTTAACTGGGTGGGAGCCCAGCCGGAGGAGGG